ATTTAAGAGATAAGTCATGGGGTTTAAAATAAAAATGAAAAAATATTGAATCCAAAATTTGTCAAGAATGAAATGCTATAGGGACTTTAGCATCACCCCCATGGTGGACCCTCGCTGCATACCAAACCCAACAATTAAGGAATAAAAAATGTGTATTTATTATAAATTAAAGGGATTAAAAATATGTATATTTAAATAAATTTAATAGATTAATTAATAAAAGATTTAAAAAAATATACTTTTCATAATTAAAAAACTAAAAAATATATATATAAAAATTAAAAGATAAAAATTATATAAAATCTTGAAATTAAAAGACTAAAATTAATATTTATCCTTTTTCTTATCCCTTGTCACTTTATGTATCATTTGCTGGTGATCCATAAATTTTAAATTGACTTTGCCTTTACCTTCCAGTGGCTCCTCCATCAATGGTGGTGGTAAATGTGAATAGAAGAAAAAGTTGACTTTACTTTCCATATAACTTTAGTTTTCTTGGCTGTTTTATTTGATGGGTGCAGTCTTCCACTAAGTCTTTCTTTATGTTTGCATCATTTTCTACAATATATTAAGATCATATTTGGATCTTCATATTGGTCTTTTTGAATATTCTTTCTATTTAAAATAATTGTCATTTTTATTTTAAATTTATCTTAAATTAATTATCATTTTTTTTTATTTTTTAAAGTAAATAAATAATTCTTACATTAACCTTATTATTATTTATTTATTTTAATTAATACGCTATCACAAAAAATCTCTCTTTATTTTTTTTTGAGTAATATAAGTAAAGTACGTAAATTATTTTTAAATCCTTAATTTTTTAAAAAATAAAAAGTCATATAAAAAAATAAAAAAAACAAATATATATATTTTTTTGAAAAGCAAAAGGATATTATTCTTTGAGTACAAGGGATATTCAACCATTTACAAGAGCAATTATGTTAGTATAGAGGCAATATTAGTTTTCCTAAATTAAAGTTTTCTAAGCACTTTAATTATAAATTTGGGTTGTGGGGAATGGAGGAGAGAGGAGGGGAAGTGAGGGGAATTTTATCTCTCCATTTCCCTCTATTTTCCTTCCCTCACTTCCTCTCATTTGGATAAATAAATAGATTAAAAGAAAAAATAAAGTAAATGAAAATTTTACCTTCCCCTCTCCTCTTTATTCCCCTCAACCTAAACATATTAATACTAATAAAGAGTTGCCTCCAATGAAATCCTATTTTATGATTACCTAAACATATTAGCTATTATCTTTTATCCTTTTAACTCATTTATAATCCAGCTTGTTTAAAGTTAATTATTTATTTTTTTAACATGTTATTTAATATGTTTATTTTTATTTCTACTTTATTTTAATAAGAAAATTACAACATATACAATATGTCAAAAAAATGTTTATTTAAGTAGTGACTAATTAAAAATATTTATGAAATTTTATGAATTAATTATCACATTGATCCCTATTTTATTGGAGAAAAAAATTAAGCTAACTAAAATTTGAATAGAGGGAATATATATACTATTAACAATATATAACCAAAAATTCGATTTTAATTCTAAATTAAACTTCTAATAATATGTTAATTTTAGTCTTAATTGAAAATCACATGCTAAACCTAATTAAAATAATACTAAAACTCCAAATAAAACTCAAAGACTCGATGCAAAAACAAACAATCTTAAAACTAATAATTAAAGAGGCCTTCTATGCTCCTGCTTTATATTTTTAGTTGAATAAAAAATTTCATTACTTGAAGTACAAAAGTTGCATGTGCTTCCCTTGAATTTTCAAGAAAAAAAAAAGTAATAAAATTGGTTAGTTAAAAAAGAAAAGAAAAGAAAAGAAAAAGTCCAAAACTAAACCAAACGTTGAACAGCCCAACCTACACCCCATGGTGAATTTTTTAAAAGAAAGATTCCATTTCCGTTACCTAGAAGCCACCAATATAATTTTTTTAAATGATACAGTACAGACAACTGTCTTCCCATTCACAATTCTTCATGATGAGCATCACTCTGCATATTCTTTTCTCAGGCATTTGCTAGGCATCTTTAACTACACTTCAAAAAAGAGAAAAAATGCTTTTGCTAGGCATCTTCCAACAAATATCCAACAGTTTCCTTCTTAAACTTCTCTGTTCTCCTTAGCCAGCCCAGGTCTTGTGATTAGAACGTATCAGGCTTGCAATCGAGTGGATCTGCTCGTTGGCCTTAGTTGGTTAATTATCAGTGTCTACTTTCTTCAATTTCTTGTGTTTTTCTAGAGGTATACTACTATCTCTACCTCTTCAGTCTTGAGCCTTTATTGATGTTTCTTGTAAGATTCCTCCTTTTAAATTGTTCTTTTGGCAAATTATTAGATTCATCCTTTCAAATTGTTTTCCTTTTCAGGAAATACCTGTAGATCTCAGATCTACTACTACTTGTAATTTGCTGTGCCCAAGTTGGATATCATTTTGTCCACTTTTCTTCAATTTCTTGTGTTTTCTACAGGTACACTACCATCTCTATCTCTTCAATTAATCTGGAGCCTTTATAGATGTTTTCTTGTAAGACTCCTCGTTTTGAATTGTTCTTTTAGCAAATTATTAGATTCATCAGGTTAAAGTGTTTTCCTTTTCAGGAAATATCCGTAGATCTACTACTACTTTTAGTTTACTGTGCTTAAGTTGCCTATCATTGTCCGCTTTTCTTCAATTTCTTGTGTTTTCTACAGGTACACTACCATCTCTATCTCTTCAATTAATCTTGAGCCTTTATAGATGTTTAGTTGTAAGATTCCTTGTTTTGAATTGTTCTTTTAACAAATTGTTAGATTTGTCATTTCAATGCTACTTCTAATTTGCTATCCCTAAGTTGGTTATCAATGTCCACTTTTCTTCAATTTCTTGTGTTTTTTTTAGGAACAATTCTTAGTTTTGCAAAATTAGGACTACACGTCCCACCTTGAAATTAGACTAAGGGCCTGTTTGGTGTGGTTGGAGCTTTTTGATATAAGTTTTGTCAGAAAAAATATGTTGTAGGAGGGCTGTTTTTTAAAAGTTGAAAGTGTTTGGTAAAATTTTTTGTAGAAGTACTTATAAAGTAAAAAGTTGTTTGGTAAATTTTTTTATAAGAGATCTTTTAATGTTAAAATGACTGAAATAAACATTATTTATTTTTTCTATAACTTTCACTTTATT